AAAAAATTGTCTTATATTTTAGGCCATATGTTTGATTTAAGGCCTATCCACCTTTTAACCTTCACCCCATGACGCTTTGCACGAATAATGGGAGTACCTTCCGTTAAACTGTAAACAATCAACGAAAGGTTTGCTCTATGAACGCAATAATAAGTATTTTTAAAAACTGGTATAATGAGATGACATTATACTAATCACCCTTTTTCAGCCATCGAACATTAAAATTCTAAGCATTAACAAATTACTGCAACAAAGCACAAATAACCCCGAAAGCTTGATTATTTTCACAGCAGTATTACGGATGTAATGTATAAATATCACTGTAATGTATGATGTCTGTATGTAATATGTTTCCTTATTACACAGCTCTGAGGAATACTTGTTTCTGATTGGGCAATCGCGCAATCCAGTGGCATGTTATTCCCAGATTACAACCGCTGAAAACAGATAACACCGGCTCATCCGGGTCACTGAAGTCAGCAGCGCTATACGCTTGCTAGGAAAGGTTTTATTTCGTGCAAGTTTTGCATTTGGTGAGCAAATAAAATATTAATATTTTGATTGATTCGTTCGCGCTCGACTCGCTCTCTCTTGTTTCAAGGGCAGCTGCTGCCATCATTAGCTGCTGCCACTATCGTTTTGTAGGCCTACACTGTTGGATTCTAAAATACAGGTACGATTTTAAAACTATCTGAAATCAATATATCTTATCTCCATAATTATTTATGTGGCGAAATGCTGTGTAATAAGTGGTATGACTGTATGCCATATCTCTTAAATGTCCATCCAGCTTGAACTTGCCGCGCTAGCAACTTCTCTCTCCGCGGAAGCTTTGCGTTTAAAGACCTAATTAAATATTTCAACTCAGATCAATATTTCGTGTCTAATTATTTACTTATGTGGCAAGTAGCCGTGGAATAAGGTGGTCGGGGTTTGCATCAGCCTGAAGGGGTTTACTTACTTAATCAAAAATGTTCATTAACTGGCGCATTGAGTGATAATATTTCAAAGTGATTCTGTCATTTTAACCTACAATAAATGGTTTACCTGCTTTAGTAAACACTGCTAATTGGGATTAGATGTGAAAAGAGCAGACAAACACATTTTAAAGCATCCGTGTGAAAACAAACCTGGAAAGAGACGTGAGCATTTGGGGAGAAAAACAAGAGATTCTTAGTGCATTCCAGTGAATTATTCATGGGATAGGCCTATATAATAGTTTTAATCAGGAGAGCAGACCACAAATGCCCTGCTTGTTATAATGTTACAGCGGAATACAAAGGGAAAAAAGAAAATAATCAGGAGGAAAAGAATGCAGCGACTGAAAATAGATCGATATATTCTTGTTACACTGAAATACCAAGCGTTACGTTATTCTCCTGACGTCTGAACATAAAACATGAATAAAATTTTACAGCTCATTCAATCAAACTGACGGATAAGGATTATTAGTAGCACAACCGAATGATTTGAAATGATTTGTTTCAGTCTTTTTGAGTGGTCCCATGATCAAAAACACTCAGGAAAAACGTGGATTGGTTTACGGTTAGAAAGTTAATTGCGGTCTGTGAACGGTTATAGAAATTTGCAACACAACAGAAGTCAAATGGACATTTTTTGGGGGGAGTTCAGTAGGCAGACTTTAGCAGTTTAGTTAGCGATCCAACTCACACACGTCCTAAACACACATCTACTGTGAGTCACTTTTGTATGGAGACTATTTCTCTTTTCTTCTGTTTGCATATCCTTCTTTTCCTCACCTTGTCACTCCATCTGTTCCTTGCCCTGCACTCGTTTTCTCAGCACTGCGGCTCTTCTGCTACTATTATTCTCTTGTCTCTCTATGAGGGCTGTAATTGTAAGTGTCCACCCACATATCTGCAGTCTACACACGCACAAATTCACCATACAATGAGATCCTATATAAAACACGCTTCATGTAGCTTAATGGAGGCTTTTGTGTGCGTGTGTGTGTGTGTGTGACCGTGTATCATTATCCAAGATTGGTTGCACTACTGTCAACAAGAAAGCAGATTTTCCATGTATTTTCTGGGGTTTCTGTCAAACAGAGTACTGAGGCTAAATTAGCCAGTCAGAGCTCAAATACATTTGGTTTGCTTGGAAAGTGAAATGGCTTGTTGTTTGAAATATTTTAGATGTTCCTCTTATTGTGATGAAATTCATCATGTGTCTTTCTCTTTATTCTTTATAATGGTGGATGTAAAAAGTACAAAACAGATTTTACTAGCAGTGTGGCCTTGCAAATGCAGCATAAAAGCGTAGTTCGATTTATTGGTTTAAAATGTCATTAGTTTTTATTTACATTTTTTGTAAATTACAGTTTTAAATTGTAGAATTTACAGTTTTTTACAGAAATATTCTGGCAATACTTCTGTGGCCTGTTCTATAAAAAATAACAGGATGTTTTATAGTGTACAGAGAATTCCACAAAAAAACAAAATGCACAAGCTGTAAAAAGTTGTAACCTGCAATTGCAACCATAAAGAGCTATTTCTTTCTTGATAAAACCCATACAAATATATTTTGTTTGTATAAATAAATGTATTCAGGTTGCTTAAATATTTAGGATATATTAAATACAGTGTAAAAAAATGATGGTGATTTTAACGGTAAAAGACTGTAAAAATGCAACGGTAAAAATACTGTTAATTGGTTAACAGAAAGTTTCCTTACAGTGAATAACTGTAATGGAACTAACCGTAAATTTAGTGTAATTTTACAGTTTCATTTTTGGAAGTGAAAAATAACAAGTCATTGTATAATTTAGTCAAAAACTGTAAATTGACATTCCCAGAATTCCCTGCATGACACTTCACATTTGATGTATTTCCATTTAAATAACTGTTTCTTAGTTTTTGTTCTAATTAAATATGTACATACGGGTTTTATGTTACATCTAATGTTGTTAAATCAATCTTTATTGCACTTTTTTAATGTCGCGTGTGTTACCAAGATGGTGATTTGTGTTTGTGTGAATGACACTGTGCACCTAATATATTAATATTTACCCTCTCAGCTTCTTTGATTCATCATGTGACTTTCTTATCACCACTTGTTTATGGTGGTTGTCAGTCTATTACAAAACGAAAAACAACAGATTATAGTACTTCAATAGGTTGGTAAATTAACATATGGGTTAATGATATACCATTTTTTACTGTAAATGTAAAAACGAATTTTTTACAGTGCTTTTTACAAGCTGAGGTAAATGTAACATAGAATGTGCGCATAGTGTTACGAACACAAATACAAAACACTTTCATGTTAACACACATGACATTAAAATGATACAAAAAGCATTAATTTAACAACAAAATAAACCATAATGGACATAACTGATTAAAAACAACTAAAAAGAAACAATTATTAAAATTAAAAACCACCAAGTATGAAGTGTCGCACTGGAAATGTCAGTTTATTGCCTTTCACTGTCAATTTTAAGATGATTTGATCATTTTTACTCCCAAAATTTTTATATTCAACAGCATTTTACTGTAATTACATGAAATGGGTTAGATCTATTACAGTCAGTAAGGGAACTTAATGTTAACCAATTAACCATTTCTTACTGTAGCATTTTTACAGTTAAAATTACAATAACTTTTTACAGTGTAATGGAATATAATTTGTGTTTTAACGTGGAGAGGTTGATCACAATAGAATTAGAGTGTGTTGCCATGGTTTCCAGTTGGCCACCTTGCTAAGTCTGCAAGACTGCATGAGCAGAATGTGTGTGTGTGTGTGTGTGTGTTCTGTCAATACAGGAAAGGACAATGAGTGATAAATGTGTGTGTTGTATAATGGATAGACTGTGGTTTGGAGCTTGTGTAACTGTTTCTTTTTTAGGATGTGATAACTTGAGGTTTTCTGTTTTGGAAGAGGTCGATTGCTTGACAGTCTGAAGCTCATTATAATGGGTTTTGTGTGTGTGTGTTTATTACGTTAAATTAGTTTATCAGCTGGAACATTTGGTATGTCTGTCATTCTGTCACTAATATGCCAGAATGCAGTGTCATGATGTCATCTTCAGTGTTTGTTTTGGTCAAAGTTATTCACGTATACAGCAGAGCTTTTTAGGCACACACACACACACAAACACACGCAGGCAAACAAACAACACATTGTTCTGCTGTATCGGCAGCTCTTTTTTATTTAATATGAATGGAAACATGTATTTTATACTAGTTTGTACCAGATATTCTATGCAAGCTGCTGTTAGACGTGTAAGACCAGAAATAGCTTTGTACTGTCAAGCGTGAAGCAGAAAACATTGCAATGTGAAACATGCTCTAGTGATTTAGGACTTAATAGACTTTTAAAATATATAGTTAAGTGCAAACTGAATTCAGTGTGTTCAGACACTTAATTGCATGCAAACTGCAATTAAATGAGTGCAAATAACTGCGTTTTTCCCCCTTAAATAAGTAGGACTTAAGTACAAAATGAAATGTAATTTTGTCTTTGAAATATAAAGTGTACTTCCGAATGTGCTGACAAGCATTTATGGTAAATTAAAATATACTTTAATGTCATTTCTATTGAAACTTGTAAGTCATGTATTTAAATATATTTGTAATTGCACATTTGTAATGATGAATATAGTACATTTAAAATAGATTAATTGAATAACACACTAAAGTTAAAATTACAATCAAGTACTTTGCATGTGCTAGTCAACACATGACAAAATATTATTAAAACTGTAATGACTTAAAAAGCAAAACTTTAAATGTGACATTATTACGAAGTGCACTTTTTAAAAAGTGTACTTAAGTGTATTAAGACAAATAGTCATAAAAGTGTACTTCCATACACTTAAGTGGCCTTTTATTTTATTAATATTATATTATCTACAAATACAGTTTTAAAAAATATATACTTTTAACATTTGAAATACACTACAATTGCACATTCAATGCAATTATTTTCTACAAGGGTGTTTAATGTGTTCCTCTCCATATAACAATTTCTATTCACAGACAAAAGAGAAGAGGAAGACCACTGGAGGAGAAGAGAAAGACAGAAGGGCATTAGAAAGTGAAGGTAGAGGAAGAAAGAGAGAGAAATGATGGATCCGTTACCTGTGGATACAGGAACAGTGGATGAGTTGGTGGACATCTGCATACAGTCCTTTGGTGAGTCTATAAAGAAAGTTTTATACATAAATGAGTTTCAACCAAAAGTTTGGGTGGAACATTTAGTCTGATGTTTTAGAGCAACTGCGAAGCGAAAGTTTCTGCTGTGAATCTAGAAGATGAACCAGCAAACAGTAATCATGCTGTTCATTAGCCAAGCTTAGCTGGTAAGCTGGTCAACAGCGACCAGGGAAGTCACCATAAAAAATGTGTATGGTTTATTTTGTCATTAATGTTCTGTGATGTTTGTGCTTTCAGACAATGCAGGCACAATAAAAAATCCCTCCTTTTTGAAAATGTTTTTGATGATGCATCCTTGGTACATTTCTTCTACCGATCTGTCCAAGAAACTGCTGCTAAAGTATCCTTTATCTAAAACCCTCACGTTGTATGTTATTTTGCATTGTTCTAGGGCTGCAACTAATTAAAAATTAATTAATTTCAATCCATTATATTTTTTAATGTTATTACATATTATATATAAATATATGTACATATATATATATATATACACACACACACACACACACACACACACACATAGTGAACATATCAAACACACACACACACACACACACACATTGTATATATACAAATATAGTGAATATATCTATGTAGCCTATATGACGTTATGTGCAAAAAAAGGGTTAAAATATAAAATTACATTCTAAACTGATTTCTTCACATTTTATGGCACAAATTAAAACGACTAAAAATTATAATGAACAAAAACAAAACCACAAAATGTCAACTTTTACAAGGTATGGGAAACTGTAAAATGTACTGAGGAAAACACGTCTCAAAAACATTAGAAACATAGAAATGTGTTATTCCAAAATCCTAAAAGTCTTTGGTTATTCTATACTGTAATGTGACATGACTGGCGGATGGTTTCTGCTCACATCTGACTGATTGATAACAAAATTAGTGGTCTATTATTTTAATAAACAACTACAACCGATTTGATCTATTAGTTGTTGCAGCCCTACATTGTTCATTGTGTTAATATTGGAAGCAGTTCACCAAAACAAATTAAGTACTATCTTACTTGACCAATATATTTCAACTTCATTTGATGGTAACTAACAACCCATGCTATATGTAATGGAACTAACGTCTCAGTTACGTATGTAACCATTGTTCCCTGAAGGGGATCGCAGTTACGTCAGCACATCGACGTAACGTCGAACGTGACGCTCCTCGACCGACTGAAAGGGAACTCTTAAATCTTGCCATAAGGTGCTGTAAAACCTGAACCAAAGTACTTAACTTTTAATTCCTGTTGTAAAGTTAATTATGTAGAGCTAAATTAAAGAATGTTTGATGCAAATCTTTAAAATCAGGACAATGATGTTAACAACTTTCCATAAAATTCCAATATTGTATTTAGATATGTTCTCTTGTAAGAAATGAAAATGTCATGGTGTAGAGTTGGATAGAAAACCCTTAACAAATGTGCAGGTCACAGGAGGGCAGCACTGATGAGATCAGAGCCCAAATATGCCACCTTGTAAAGTAAGACTAATCCTGTGTCTCATTCAAATTCTCCATGGTATGTCTTAACTTCTTTTTTTCATTGCATTTGCTCTTTGGTCTTTTTCTATGTAGGTACTGGATTTCCGAATTTCCAGTAGAGTTTGATCTGAATCCTGCTTTGGCTGACCAGATTAAAGACCTGAGAGAGAACCTGAACACTGGCGGCAATGAAACACAGAGTCAACTTATTGATGTAGAGAGTGTGTAAGTATACAGACTCACAGCCAAACTTAATTTTATGTTCTCACTCTGAAAAGGTTAAAGACGGTATGAAACAGAAGTTGTGATAGTGTTTTCTTCTCTATTGTGATGTACTGTATATCTGAGTGAAACGGCTTCTAAAACAAAAAAAACTAAAAGTAAGGTACGCGTAGTAAACACGTCATCGAAGAAGAGAATGTCGCTGCAAAAGGGAGGGGAAGTTAATATGATTAAATATCACAAGGGCACGAATAACAAAAATAATATTGTGCGTGGATAAAAGTTCAGCAAAAAATGACACTACTCACTCCTGTTCAAAACATGCATGTTTTTAACAGTTTGGATTGAAATGAGGATGAGTAGTTGATTTTGTTTTATTTTTATGTTACACAGCACAGTCATATTTCAGCATGTTGGTCAACTGCCATGAATAACAACCTTAGTCCTGTCTGAAATAAAAACATTTCCCTGCTGCAGGCCCTCGTACCAATGGAAACGACAAGTTACCCAGAGAGTTCCCTCTATGTCAAAAAAGAGAAAAATGTCTCTTTTGTTTGATCACCTGGACCCTTGTGAGCTTGCTGAACATCTGACCTATCTGGAGTACAAATCCTTCTGCAAGATAATGGTATGTTTGTGAGTACAGGTTTTGATGTGCTTGTTGGTGTGAACGTGCTCTAATTGTCCTTAGAATATCACACAAGTTACGCAAAAATATATCAAATAATTAAACATGCTGAAAGGTGTCTTTCAGGGCTTGGTGGAGTGGTAAGCTGATAGATTTATTTTGATCTTATATTAAAACTATGGATGAGAAAGAGCCACCAAAAAGTTATGCTTTTTACAGACTTTTTACATTCATAAACAGCTACACACTACATGGAACGTAATATCGGCAAAAGCATAATACGGGCACTCACTCTGTCACATAACAGATGTTTGTATATATTCCACACGCCATTATAATAACTGAAATGAGCCTGTTTAAAACAGTTTATGTTCTTATTATGGAATTACACTGTGTACACAGTTAGGTTATTAAGGTTATTAACACCTCCGAAGGTTATTATTAAATCATTATGGAGTTTGTCGTAAAGTCCTCACATGTGGTCTGACTGTGACCATTTGTTTTATGTGTGTTTCAGTTTCAGGATTACCACAGCTTTGTGATGCACGGCTGTACAGTAGATAACCCAATTCTGGAGAGGTTTATTACACTCTTTAACAGCGTCTCACAGTGGATTCAGCTGATGGTTCTCAGCAAGCCCACTGGACCGCAGAGAGCTGCCGTGATTGCACACTTCATACAGGTCGCGCAGGTCAGGAGAACTAACTTTGGTCCCACTTTATAAAAGGTGTCTTTAACTACTGTGCATTGATTTTTCGAAGTTGTAAATAAAACAAAGATTATTGGATTATTATTTTGTTTTACAAAAAAAAATGCTATTTCAGTTTTTCTATTTCAAAATTTCATGTTTAATTCAATGTGTTACATGCTGTTTCTTTGTGATTATTTATGAGATTTATTTCAAAGTAAAACGTTTTTTTCAGTAATTGTTATTGTATTGTAAAGACAGTGATTTTTGGAGCTGATTTCCAGAATACAGTTGCCCATTTGGTTTTGTTAGTGCTTGGCACTATAAATTCTTTGTTTGGTTGAAATTATAATTTACAGGGCTGGGAACTGACAGCTCTAGTACAGAACAACAACAAGTTATTGTAGTTATAAGAACAACAGCTGCAGTTCTGGTGTAGACCTTTAGTATGATGACAGCTAGTCCCATGTGACTTTTCTTCTCTTTTAATTTTTCAGAAGCGCAGAGGGGCTCCATCACCCCCTGCTCTTGTTCTTCCTGATGATCCCTTGTTCTCTTCCTTCTTATGGGCCCTGAGCTCTTCCTCTTCCAAAATATCACTTCGACTACCGCTTTTTATCTTTAATCTTTGGGTTTTCTGCCCAGTATCTTTTCATATCAAGTAGTCGTTCTCTTCGAAATCCTTTCTTCTCTCAATCTATCTCTTAAAAGCATAGTAGGAACATATTTAAGGGACAAGCAAGCACCAAAAGTTTGTATCTGTTGTGTTGTTAGTAAGTGGAAAGATTTTGAAAAAGTTAAAAACAAATTGTGTGAACTATTTTTTCAAAAAATTGTAAGATTCTACACTATTTCTATGTTACTAATCAATAAATTTGCCTATACAGTGAATGACGTGCAGTTCATTTTATGGGGAGAAAACGTTAGTTTTTATGTAGTCTACCTTACAGTGGAAAGCGATGATAGTTGCATTAATAATTATACTAAAATTAACTTAACATACATACTTAATCAGCTTTGTGATTTATTTTATGGATGGTATGGTGTTACAATAAATCTGTTTACTGTTTGCAAACGGTTTATGGTTTATTTGTTCATGATGAAAATAAGATAAAAATCAAATGGATCAATACAAATATTTTAGTAATCTTCCCTGAGTTTGCTAATATACGCACACCTGGAAGCTTTCAGAGCCTCAAAACAGCATAGTTTTTTTTTTATTAATAATATAACAAAATATTTTGTTAACTTCATCCTCTCTTTCTTTTTCACTACTTCACACCCTGTAGAAACTACTACAGTTGCAGAATTTCAACACGTTGATGGCAGTGGTCGGGGGTCTCAATAATAGCTCCATCTCTAGGCTGAAGGAGACACAGGCACACATCAACAATGAAACCAATAAGGTACATACAACACCTGTGCACCAGACACAAAACCTTTACATCAGACCCAACACTTGTGTTTCAGACAGTATCAATTTCAGAATGTCTCTCTCAGATCTTTAACAGTTTGTTGGACCTGGTGACATCTTGTGGCAACTACAGTCAATACCGGCGCCGATTCGCTGAATGCACAGGGTTTCGTTTCCCAATCCTGGCCGTTAACCTCAAGGACTTGATAGCCGTTCATGTTGCTCTGTCCGACTGGACAGACCCACAGAAGACTCGTGTCAACTTGGCCAAATTTCAGCAACTCTATGCGATCCTGCAGGAATTAGCCCTCGTGCAGAACACTCCCCCGAACATTGAGGCCAACACAGACTTGCTCAATCTACTTACAGTGAGTGTGTGTTTTATGATGTGTATATGATTTCAAGAGGAATAGAGTGATTAGGATAAAACTAACCAATTGACTGTTTATTTGTAAAAACTCGTATTATTGCCAAGTTTGAGAAAATAGGATTTCCACTATAGAGTGTTGAAGTGGTGACGTATTTTGTAGCCCAACCCGTAAGTTCGCATCACTCAGGTTCACTCAAGTTTATTATACGTACACATCTTGTTCATCATGACAATCTTCACAAATGATCACAACCTAAATACAATCGCCTGCTAAAGGAAAAAGCTAAACGTAAGCTATACAACACCACCATTAAGCTTCCGATAACTCTTTCAGACTTAATTTAAAACACATTTTCCCTGAAAGTTCGAGTTATAATCGTTTGCAAGAGCGTGACTATAAACACAACGTAACAGTGGACTAGAGAATAGACGAGTTTACCTGTTCGGTGTGATGACGTTTAATGTCAGCGACAACCACTGTAGTCCCATTTAGACACTTGTTAGAAACCGCCTTTTTCAAGACAAGTAAAAGTTTCTAAAAATCACAAGCGGCTATTACTGGTGTATGTTATGTCGTAGAATAAAACATGAAAATATCTTGAGCTTGTGTTAAGCACAGACCTTGTTTCAGGTATACAGTAGTCGATTGTCGAGTTCGCGCGCGCGATCATTGGTAACTAATATAACTAATGATCGCGCGCGCGAACTCGACAACTGACTACTGTGGACTTCGAACGAAAACAGGAAGTAAATACAGGTATGTGAGCTGGCTGAATTAACATCATTTTTATTAATATCTTTCACATCTAACGTTACTGCAGTCAGATTGACCGTGGTCACTCTTAATAACACCACTCACATGGCTGTGCCCTTGTAATGACACATTAAGGTTGTTAAGAGGCTAAAAGCAGGTTTAGAACTTGCCCCATTGAAGTCAACAGGGTGCGAATTTTAAAAAGAGGATAACACGGTGTAGGCAACACCGATTTTTGTCGTTTTTGTCTGTACTGACAGCACTCCAAATGTACAAAAAAAAAAAAATGAGCTCAATGTTAAAATTGACCGGAGTTCTCCTTTAACCAAAAATCCATACAAAAAACCCCTTGACTTCAGGACCGAAGTTCTAAAATTCCAAAAGCGTAAACGAGTTACCGGAGTAAAGATAGTTTGCGGTTTGATTTTCAGTTTTCGTTTCGCTGTGGTCCCGCAGTGCGGTGTCGTGGACATGCAAATAATATCTCATGTCGTTATTCATGATTTGTGAATTTGTGTAACGGTGTTTCTCCGGGTCAAAAAACTTTTTTTTTTTTTTTTTTTTTTTTTTTTTTATTGGGTATAGCTCCAAAAGTCGGTCACTTAGGAGTCTGAACCCAGTGTCACCTTGACATGCTCGATTTGTGAATTTTTTCACAGCAAAGCTCTTATCTGTAAAACGTTTGCTTAGTCCGGTAGACAGGAATGTTAAAAATAGCCGTTGTTCATGTTTAAACAATGGATATTAACAATTTATAATAAACACACACACTGCTGGATTACAAAAACACTTGTTTTAGATTGAACCTGATTTGTGAAAACTTTCACAGATCAGTTTGGGTCAGTTAACCCTTCCCTGAGTGGTTAACTTGGTCATTCTGATTTGTGAAACCTTTCAGAGGTCAGTTTGGGTCAGTTAACCCCTCCCTGAGTGGTTAACTAGGTCATTCTGATTTGTGAAAACTTTCACAGATCAGTTTGGGTCAGTTAACCCTTCCCTGAGTGGTTAACTAGGTCATTCTGATTTGTGAAAACTTTCACAGATCAGTCTGGGTCAGTTAACCCCTCCCTGAGTGGTTAACTAGGTCATTCTGATTTGTGAAAACTTTCACAGATCAGTTTGGGTCAGTTAACCCTTCCCTGAGTGGTTAACTAGGTCATTCTGATTTGTGAAACCTTTCAGAGGTCAGTTTGGGTCAGTTAACCCCTCCCTGAGTGGTTAACTAGGTCATTCTGATTTGTGAAAACTTTCACAGATCAGTTTGGGTCAGTTAACCCTTCCCTGAGTGGTTAACTAGGTCATTCTGATTTGTGAAAACTTTCACAGATCAGTCTGGGTCAGTTAACCCCTCCCTGAGTGGTTAACTAGGTCATTCTGATTTGTGAAACCTTTCACAGATCAGTTTGGGTCAGTCAACCCTTCCCTGAGTGGTTAACTAGGTCATTCCGATTTGTGAAACCCTTCACAGATCAGTTTGGGTCAGTCAACCCTTCCATGAGTGGTTAACTAGGTCATTCTGATTTGTGAAAACTTTCACAGATCAGTCTGGGTCAGTTAACCCCTCCCTGAGTGGTTAACTAGGTCATTCTGATTTGTGAAAACTTTCACAGTTCAGTTTGGGTCAGTTAACCCTTCCCTGAGTGGTTAACTAGGTCATTCTGATTTGTGAAACCTTTCAGAGGTCAGTTTGGGTCAGATAACCTTTCCCTGGTTGGTTAACTAGGTCATTCTGATTTGTTGAAACTTTCACAGATCAGTGTGGGTCAGTTAACCCTTCCCTGAGTGGTTAACTAGGTCATTCTGATTTGTGAAACCTTTCAGAGGTCAGTTTGGGTCAGTTAACCCCTCCCTGAGTGGTTAACTAGTTCATTCTGATTTGTGAAAACTTTCACAGATCAGTTTGGGTCAGTTAACCCTTCCCTGAGTGGTTAACTAGGTCATTCTGATTTGTGAAAACTTTCACAGATCAGTCTGTGTCAGTTAACCCTTCCCTGAGTGGTCATTCTGATTTGTGAAAACTTTCACAGATCAGTTTGGGTCAGTTAACCCTTCCTGAGTGGTTAACTAGGTCATTTTCATTTGTGAAACCTTTCAGAGGTCAGTTTGGGTCAGTTAACCCCTCCCTGAGTGGTTAACTAGGTCATTCTGATTTGTGAAAACTTTCACAGATCAGTCTGGGTCAGTTAACCCCTCCCTGAGTGGTTAACTAGGTCACCTAATTAACCACTCAGGGAAGGGTTAACTGACCCAAACTGATCTGTGAAAGTTTTCACAAACCAGAATGAACTAGTTAACCACTCAGGGAGGGGTTAACTGACCCAAACTGATCTGTGAAAGTTTTCACAAATCAGAATGAACTAGTTAACCACTCAGGGAGGGGTTAACTGACCCAGACTGATCTGTGAAAGTTTTCACAAATCAGAATGACCTAGTTAACCACTCAGGGAAGGGTTAACTGACCCAGACTGATCTGTGAAAGTTTTCACAAAATCAGAATGACCTAGTTAACCACTCAGGGAAGGGTTAACTGACCCAAACTGACCTCTGAAAGGTTTCACAAATCAGAATGACCTAGTTAACCACTCAGGGAAGGGTTAACTGACCCAAACTGACCTCTGAAAGGTTTCACAAATCAGAATGACCTAGTTAACCATTCAGGGAAGGGTTAACTGACCCAAACTGATCGGTGAAAGTTTTCAGAAATCAGAATGACCTACTTAACCACTCAGGGAGGGGTTAACTGACCCAAACTGACCTCTGAAAGGTTTCACAAATCGAAATGACCTAGTTAACCACTCAGGGAAGGGTTAACTGACCCAAACGGATCTGTGAAAGTTTTCACAAATCAGAATGACCTAGTTAACCAACCAGGGAAGGGTTAACTGACTCAAACTGATCTGTGAAAGGTTTCACAAATCAGAATGACCTAGTTAACCACTCAGGGAAGGGTTAACTGACCCAAACCTATCTGTGAAAGTTTTCACAAATCAGAATAACCTAGTTAACCACTCAGGGAGGGGTTAACTGACCCAGACTGATCTGTGAAAGTTTTCACAAATCAGAATGAACTATTTAACCACTCAGGGAGGGGTTAACTGACCCAAACTGATCTGTGAAAGGTTTCACAAATCAGAATGACCTAGTTAACCACTCAGGGAAGGGTTAACTGACCCAAACTGATCTGTGAAAGTTTACACAAATCAGAATAACCTAGTTAACCACTCAGGGAAGGGTTAACTGACCCAAACTGATCTGTGAAAGTTTTCACAAATCAGAATGAACTATTTAACCACTCAGGGAGGGGTTAACTGACCCAAACTGATCTGTGAAAGGTTTCACAAATCAGAATGACCTAGTTAACCACTCAGGGAAGGGTTAACTGACCCAAACTGATCTGTGAAAGTTTTCACAAATCAGAATGACCTAGTTAACCACTCAGGGAAGGGTTAACTGACCCAAACCTATCTGTGAAAGTTTTCACAAATCAGAATAACCTAGTTAACCACTCAGGGAGGGGTTAACTGACCCAGACTGATCTGTGAAAGTTTTCACAAATCAGAATGACCTAGTTAACCACTCAGGGAAGGGTTAACTGACCCAAACTGATCTGTGAAAGTTTTCACAAATCAGAATGAACTATTTAACCACTCAGGGAGGGGTTAACTGACCCAAACTGATCTGTGAAAGGTTTCACAAATCAGAATGACCTAGTTAACCACTCAGGGAAGGGTTAACTGACCCAAACTGATCTGTGAAAGTTTTCACAAATCAGAATGACCTAGTTAACCTCTCAGGGAGGGGTTAACTGACCCAAACTGACCTCTGAAAGGTTTCACAAATTAGAATGACCAAGTTAACCACTCAGGGAAGGGTTAACTGACCCAAACTGATCTGTGAAAGTTTTCACAAATCAGAATGACCTAGTTAACCAACCAGGGAAGGGTTAACTGACCCAAACTGATCTGTGAAAGTTTTCACAAATCAGAATGACCTACTTAACCACTCAGGGAGGGGTTAACTGACCCAGACTGATCTGTGAAAGTTTTCACAAATCAGAATGACCAAGTTAACCACTCAGGGAAGGGTTAACTGACCCAAACTGATCTGTGAAAGTTTTCACAAATCAGAATGACCTAGTTAACCTCTCAGGGAGGGGTTAACTGACCCAAACTGACCTCTGAAAGGTTTCACAAATTAGAATGACCAAGTTAACCACTCAGGGAAGGGTTAACTGACCCAAACTGATCTGTGAAAGTTTTCACAAATCAGAATGACCTAGTTAACCAACCAGGGAAGGGTTAACTGACTCAAACCTATCTGTGAAAGTTTTCACAAATCAGAATGACCTAGTTAACCACTCAGGGAAGGGTTAACTGACTCAAACCTATCTGTGAAAGTTTTCACAAATCAGAATGACCTAGTTAACCACTCAGGGAAGGGTTAACTGACCCAGACTGATCTGTGAAAGTTTTCACAAATCAGAATGACCTAGTTAACCACTCAGGGAAGGGTTAACTGACCCAAACTGATCTGTGAAAGTTTTCACAAATCAGAATGAACTAGTTAACCACTCAGGGAGGGGTTAACTGACCTCTGAAAGGTTTCACAAATCAGAATGAACTAGTTAACCAACCAGGGAAGGGTTAACTGACTCAAACCTATCTGTGAAAGTTTTCACAAATCAGAATGACCTAGTTAACCACTCAGGGAAGGGTTAACTGACCCAAACTGATCTGTGAAAGGTTTCACAAATCAGAATGACCTAGTTAACCACTCAGGGAAGGGTTAACTGACCCAAACTGATCTGTGAAAGTTTTCACAAATCAGAATGACCTAGTTAACCACTCAGGGAAGGGTTAACTGACCCAAACTGATCTGTGAAAGGTTTCACAAATCAGAATGACCTAGTTAACCACTCAGGGAAGGGTTAACTGACCCAAACTGATCTGTGAAAGTTTTCACAAATCAGAATGACCTAGTTAACCAACCAGGGAAGGGTTAACTGACCCAAACCTATCTGTGAAAGTTTTCACAAATCAGAATGACCTAGTTAACCACTCAGGGAAGGGTTAACTGACCCAAACTGATCTGTGAAAGTTTTCACAAATCAGAATGAACTAGTTAACCACTCAGGGAGGGGTTAACTGACCCAAACTGACCTCTGAAAGGTTTCACAAATCAGAATGAACTAGTTAACCACTCAGGGAGGGGTTAACTGACCCAAACTGACCTCTGAAAGGTTTCACAAATCAGAATGACCTAGTTAACCACTCAGGGAAGGGTTAACTGACCCAAACTGACCTCTGAAAGGTTTCACAAATCAGAATGACCTAGTTAACCACTCAGGGAAGGGTTAACTGACCCAAACTGATCTGTGAAAGGTTTCACAAATCAGAATGACCTAGTTAACCACTCAGGGAAGGGTTAACTGACCCAAACGGATCTGTGAAAGTTTTCACAAATCAGAATGACCTAGTTAACCAACCAGGGAAGGGTTAACTGACTCAAACCTATCTGTGAAAGGTTTCACAAATCAGAATGACCTAGTTAACCACTCAGGGAAGGGTTAACTGACCCAAACTGATCTGTGAAAGGTTTCACAAATCAGAATGACCTATTTAACCACTCAGGGAAGGGTTAACTGACCCAAACTGATCTGTGAAGGGTTTCACAAATCAGAATGACCTAGTTAACCACTCAGGGAAGGGTTAACTGACCCAAACTGATCTGTGAAAGGTTTCACAAATCAGAATGACCTAGTTAACCACTCAGGGAGGGGTTAACTGACCCAAACTGACCTCTGAAAGGTTTCACAAATCAGGTTCAATCTAAAACAAGTGTTTTTGTAATCCAGCAGTGTGTGTGTTTATTATAAATTGTTAATATCCATTGTTTAAACATGAACAACGCCTATTTTCAACATTCCTGTCTACCGAACTTAGCGAACGTTTTACAGATAAGAGCTTTGCTGTGAAAAAATTCACAAATCGAGCATGTCAAGGTGACACTGGGTTCAGACTCCTAAGTGACCGACTTTTGGAGCTATACCCAATTTAAAAAAAAAAAAAAAAGAAAAAAAAAAAAAGGTTTTTGACCCGGAGAAATACCGTTACACAAATTCACAAATCATGAATAACGACATGAGATATTATTTGCATGTCCACGACACCGCACTGCGGGACCACAGCGAAACGAAAACTGAAAATCAAACCGCAAACTATCTTTACTCCGGTAAACGACCGAACCAATAAAAATATGTCATCGCTGCAGCACTCAGTTGGAAGACGTGTGGAAGAATGGACTTGAACTTTTATCAGCTGCATGAGCAACATAGCTCAATGTGTCGGTGTAGACTGACTGAGTTACAACTCTTGACACAGTTTCATAGTTTTTTTTTTTTTTTTTTATATTTCTGGTCATCTTTGGCTCTGGTCGTTTACAGCTCACATTCAGTACACTTTCAGCACAGAAATAGAACAGAAAGACATATTCTACATGATTTTTTTGTATACAACATTTTCAAATTGTTGTTAAATTCCTGTGCAATTTAAAAAAAAAAAACTGGTGCCAAGCATGAACAAATTGCATATTCCAAAATCTGTACCACCCGTCCATCCATACGCAACACGGAAAGCATTTTCAAAAACACTTTTTTGCAGTTTGCCAGAATGTTTTGAGTGTTGCCATAGAAACCTTTTTTATTGAAGTCCCCAGAATGTGAACAGCTCTAAATAGAATCTTCTAAATAATTACAGTAATTGCTGCATGTGGTGAATGTACCATGAGAATTCATGTCTAATCAAATCCATTCAACCATTTCTAGAGAGAGAAAACATGCATACAGTATGGAAGTGTTTGATGAGTCTTTAAACTTTGATTTCATTTTAGTCCATTTGACTGTTTTCTGATAAACACACAATCACACACAAATGCAGAACAGAACAGAGCAGAGACATTTAGTAGACAGCAATCTAGGTTCAGAAATACTTTCTGAGGCCCCGTCCACACTACTGCGTTTTCGTTTAAAAACGGAGACCTTTTGCTACGTTTGCACCTCCCGTCCACACTAAAACGGCAAAAACGGAGACCCAAAACGGAGAAGTTTAGAAACGCTGCCGATCCGTTTTTCGTTTTGAAACTCCGGAGGGCGTTTTAGTGTAGACGGGTCAAGACGGAGGACTTTAGAAACGATGACGTAGTAGAGGCTCACGCTCGGCTCTATGATTGGGTGTCATCAGTCATGGCGTATATCTTTGCTAGCAGCTGTTGTACAAGTAAATTCTGCATTTTACAACGCTATAACTGCCTACATGCGCCGGAGTCTAGCTATTATTCGAGCGATCTGTGACAATTCCCGTGTGCAGCGGCGGCGTTGACCGTATGGAGCGTCGGTTTGGGGTTAACCCAGAGCATGGTGGGATAATTTTATCAATGAAGTTGTGTTTACACCGGCACGCGCATGCCCAGTGTTGGTGAATGGTCACGTGATCCGCGTTTTCAGTCGTTTTAATGTGGACGGAGATCAATTCTAATACGCAGCTAAAACGCTGGTGTGGACGAAGATCGTATTCGTTTTAATTCTCCGTTTCTAAACTAAAACGCAGTAGTGTGGATGGGGCCTGAGAAATCATTGATGTCTAATCTTCCCCAAAAGTTATATTAATCATCTGTAGCTCATTGAATCCTGAGACAGATTTTGGTTGTGTTTTATGTGTAGGTGTCACTGGATCAGTACCACACAGAAGAGGAGATTTATCAGCTCTCATTACAGAGAGAACCCAGAGCTGCAAAACCTGCGGTCAGTTTCCTGCCTGTTATATTTGGTTCATTTATGCATCCCCCCATTTCTGCAATAAACAGTTCAATGCGTTTACTGAAATGCTGATATTTGGTTATGAAGAAATGTATTATTTACAATAACTCACAAGATTAGATTTAATCTCATAAATTAAATGTAAAGATAAATGCACACTTGTAACTTTGGTTTTTGCTTGCTGAATCAGAACTCAACAACTTCCTCCAGTCCAGCTCCTAAACAACTATCAATGATTGATGAATGGGCAGCATCGGTGAAGCCCAAAGCTAACCCTGTTATCATCAGCAAACATATCGAGAAGATGGTGGACGTAAGAGAAAAACTAACATTCTTATAATTCCAATTTGTTTTGACACACATTTACTGTATGTTCAACACATTAAATCACTTCCGTTGAGCCTGTACTAAGCCCCGCCCCTCTTATTTATTGCTCTAAACCTTGATTAACCATGAAGTTATAAATAGTAATTGTCCAAATTGGGCAAGAAATGAATGATAAAAGGTTAAAAATCTAATCTAGACAAATACTTTTAAGAGTCAACTAAAGAGAATTGAGCAGAATTACAATTACGGGATGTCAACTAATTAAAAATACTAATTGATCATTACAAGATTGAACCAAATAATCAAACGAATCACAGTTACCGCACATGGCAGACTGAACCACACCATAGATCTTCTTGGAATAGACATTTCCATAAACTTGCACTGGCATATCTTAAAATATGTCGGTGCCATTGTTTTGTCTCAAGATGCACACCAGTAATGTTTTTTTCTAAGGCATGTTTATAAAAGCTACTTAAATTTCCTAATTGAACTAAAGCCTAACCCTGGCTTAATCTAAGCCCTGTCTGTGAAACCAGACCTTAGTGTTCTGTTTTTGAACAAGCCAAAAAAGAAAAAACCTCAATATCAGAATTGTTTAAGAAACAAAAATAAACCAGCTTTCTGCATTTTAGTTTTTTTCTGTCATGTATGATTATTGTACATTTAACGTCATACATAGTATGATACATTTTGTATTCAAACTATTTAAAAAACACAGCTTTTAAAAAAACAAAAACAGACATTTTGATTTAAAAAATCACAATTACTGGAGATTAGACTGTTTAGGGGACATAAGTAAATGTGTTATGTTTTAACATCTTATCATTTATATTGTAAATCATGCTAAATTGACAGCCCTAATTAAAAGTGCTAATGGTTTATCTGAATAAAACTGCTTCTGAATTCAGGGTAGATTCTAAGGCAACTATAAACACACTCCGAAACTCTGTTTCTTTCGCCACTACTGTGACCATATTCAAAACATTAGCATTGAATGACATCGAGACCTTGATATTATTGATATTATTCCTGTTCTGGAAAAGAAGGTGGTTTAAGTTTAAGCATGCACTTTTTAAAATAATTTAATTGTAAGTAAAAAAAAAAAAAAAAAAAAAAAACCTTGTATCCTCCCTTTGTTTTTTTTAGCTTTTAGTTCCCAATGTATGATTCATCAGTAAGGATTTTAAGGTGGTCTTAGTGCAGTGTCAATTATGTATAGCCTATGTTTACTCTGACAGTATAAATTCTAAAGTTTAAATAGCTCAATATGTTCATTTACAAATCCCTCCATGTAAAATGGATTATTGGAGATGTTAATGAAACTGTGTTTCTATTTTCTTTTCACAGTCTGTGTTCAAGAATTTTGACACAAACGGTGACGGCTTCATCTCACGTGAAGAGTTTGAATGCATCAGGAATAACTTTCCATATCTCAGCAAGTTTGGAGAACTCGATAAAAATCAGTGAGTATATCAATGCCAAACAAGAGCACTTTCTTTTGCACGCCATAATATAAACGTATTCACAAACTATGATTCACAGCATGAACAAAATTCAGCAGGCTCAGCAGATCAATTTAATAGCTTGGTTTAATAGAGAAATTAGTATGAACATGGACCTGAGGTCAGAATGAAAACCACAGAGAGAAAGATTTTCTTAAAGACAGTTAAGACTTGTTGAAGGGGGAACTCACTAACTTCATTATGAAGGCATATCCAGAATCCAATATAATAAATATAGTATAGTATAATATAAATACATTTTTTATTTGAAAATATTTACACATTCACTCTAATGCCTAATATTCCAAAAACAGCTTTGCTTATGTTTCTTGATCAGTCATATGAGTTACATTAATCAAAATGATTCAAAACTGCAAAATTTGACACAAAAGTTGAGTAGCTTGCATCACTATTATACCTACCTAGTGCTACTCAACTTTTTTTTGTAAAGTTTTGCAGTTTTGATTTGAACGTAGGCTATAGGCTATTGTTACTGTTGGTCTTTTTACATAATTTAAAACAGCTTTCAAATATTAAATGTTTTTCTTACATCTTACCTCATACTCTTGCACCATTAAAACTGAAGTATTATGCTGGAATTTATTTTCGGCTTCTGTGAACGTTTTGAAACCCTTCTTAGGTTTGATTGGTAATCTACTAACCTGGGAAAACCCAGACAACTTCCGGCAAATTTAGATTTGCTCTGAGGCCCTGTCCACACGGACACGGGTATTTTTATAACCGTGACTTTTTTTACGCGGTTCGGCCATTCGTCCACACGAAAACGCACTGAAACCGAACATTTTTGAAAACCCCTGCCAGGGTGAAGATTTTCAGAAACGCCAGTTACAGTGTTGTCGTGTAGCTAGTGAAACCGGGGTTTTTGCCTTGCGACGTCAGAGTGTGCGCCGTTATCCGCTGTGTTTGACGTCAGATTTGCGCTACTGATTGGCCAACGTGGCTTTACGGTTAAAGGTTTATATCGCCGCCTGCTGGCGTGGCATGCTCTTGACCGCGCTTGATAGCGTGTTTTTGCATTTTCATGTAGACGGAGACCGAGCATGTGTGGACGGGATTGTTTTTTTTAAACGCTGTAGGAAAAACTCCGGTTATAAAAATACCCGTGTCCGTGTGGACAAGGCCTGAAAGTTAGTGTGGCAGCTCATTTCCAATCCGCCGAAATCGCAGCACCAATCAGAAACGTCGGGGCGGGCTTTACACGATGACGACAGTGCTGGGATTTTGAAGCAGATTTTGTAGCCTACATTACAAAGATGGATGCCGCCGTCGAACATCACTCATTCGAATCAGCTATCGCGTCTGTTTTAAGCGATTTGAACGTTTCCCTTTTGTTAAAAACCCAGCAAAGATGGTTTCGACTCGGAGATGTTTCTGCCGCTCTGCATACGTCATCTCCTTCATCGCTCTGATTGGGTTTAGGTCTATCCGCGACGTCCGTTGGTGACGCCCCTCTGGAAATGATTTGTCTATGACGCTTTGCCAGACCAACTCAGTTACAACTGAGAATGGTCTGGTTTTAACCAGGCTAGTAATCTACACTATAACAAGTGTTGTTAGGGCCAGTTCACACTGAACGCGTTTTTGCTGTTAAAAACGCGAACACCAGGTAAGTAGAACGGAAAAAAGTGCATGGTCTAAAGACATGTCTTTTTTGTTTTTAGAAGTTTAACTTCTTTTAACTTGATCCCCGCGTTTTTAGAATGTCATGTGCGAGATACTGCAAAAGACACGAGATGCAAATGCACAAAAAAAATGGAACAGTAGCGCAGTGGAATGGAAAAACGTGTTCTGTGTGAACAGCCCCTTAGAACACTGAGGCAGACGACCAGCCTAAAAATGTAACTTTTAAATCATGTAACAACAATCAGAACAGTGCATAATGAAGTGCAGCAGAGCAGCATCAAAAATATAAAATATTGGGTGGAACAATTTTGCCATATCTAATTATTCTATGGTATAATTGTTCAATTTCAGTAATTTCCAAAATTCTGGTTAAACTGGAAGGTTCTAGAAATGTTGGTATATATGGCATATATCCGACTAGTAACAGCAGTAACAGTTAAGACATTATTATTATTATACAGTTATTATTATCGCCATAACTAAATCTACAGCGGTGGCATGAGTTATTGTGCTCCTCACTCTTCTCTTGTGATGTTCACGAAGCACCCTTACCATGGAAGTTGATCTGTTCTGAGGAAAAGATTCCCAAACTGTTTGGACCTTGTGGACTGTTTCATAGTGTATGTTTTTCTCTCTCATTTCATGATCTGTTTGTCTCCATCTATTAGGGATGGAAAGATCAGCAGGGAGGAGATGATAGATTATTTTATGAAGGCCAGTTCTTTGCTCAATTGTAAGATGGGCTTCATACACACCTTTATGGAGACTACATATGTGAAACCCACCTTCTGCGAACACTGCACCGGCTTTGTAAGTATCAGATGCTCATGCAATCATATAGAAATAGATTCATGTTTTTTTGAGTGCCCTTATTATGCTTTTTCGTATATTACCTTTCATGTAGTGTGTAATATAGCTGTTTGTTAATGTAAAAGGTCTGCAATGTTTCAAAGATCAAGTGCAGATAAATGGGGTTATTGTCTCCCAAAAGAAAGAACCAATTCTAAACTGAAATGAGCCATCAGTAATTCCAGTCTTACCTCCTGCTCGAACCTACGTAGGTTTAAGAGCAGAGGAGGTTCTCGAAAAGGAGGGGTTTATAGAGACCGGATCCTTGATCAAACCATTTCAGACACTGTGATGCTGCTATCTATATGAGAAAATCAATGGTTTTTCGACCTTTGATGCATGTACACCTATTGTAGAAGACCTCCGAAACAAAATTAGGAACCTATACAATAGCATTATAGGGGCACTTTAATTATTGCACTGTGTCTTTTCTAAGATGGACAGTTTTAGAAATTAGCTCTATCTGAGCACATTTGGCTTTGATCTATTGGTTTATTTATAACATGGTGTGGTGTGTAGCTGTGTATTGAATGCTGTACCCCAGTCCCTTCCATTGTGTGTATGTGGTACTTTCAGATCTACCTGTGTGTGTGGCCTCTGATGTTGTGTGTTTGTGATGTTTGGGCTTTCCCTTTCATCTATTGTTTTCCTGCTGTGATTCTCATTCTCTCTTGATCCTCCCTCTTCTCTTCTCTGTACTATTTTCAACATCCTTCCTGCATCTCGCTCTTTCTTCAAAAATAACTTTAATATGTATATCCCTCTTTTTAAGATATGGGGCTTTTATAAACAAGGATACAAATGCAAAGGTAAGAGAGAACTGTATGTGTGCATGTTTGGCATGTCTGCAAAAAATTACCAATTCCTTTACCAATTCACCCATTCAGAAAAGGTCAATAGGACAGAGATTTGAAGAATATAGAAATATAGATAGTTGCTCTTTTCAATGCGGTGGACTCTGTGCTTTAGTGTAACACTTCCCCAAGATTTAATTTTGTGCTTCATTTTCTCATGATTTCCATACACTGCGCTGCATTGAAAGTTGCGGTGGCCGGTGAGTCTAAATGCGGAAGCGATCGCGCATAGGGTCCATTACAGGACTGGAGCTTTCGAGCTCCGTAAAGGATGCAAAAGCACTATAGATTTATCATTAAAGCAACACTATGGAACTTTTCAACCTTCATAATATATTTCCAAGACCCTTGTGATGGTACATCGACTTACAATAGGTTAAATGACACGTCTGCCATAGCCTGACGTGGTCTGTATCGCTTTTACTCGCACTATGTAACTTCGGGTTTCGGGTAGTAACCCGAGCACAAAAAGAACTACAAAACTCGACTGCTTTACGGCATACGTCACTTCCCCCACCACTTCCTCAAATTGTCTATGGCCATTGCAGACATCCCAAGTCTATAGTGTCTCCCTGATGCCCGCAAATTAGTTCAAATCTGCCGGAATCTAGAGCACGCATGCGAGACAGAACATACTGCGCGCATAACATACATAGCGCGAGCACGGCAGAGAGGGAGAGAGCGAGAGACCTTGGGTGTGTGCCTCACGAAAGCTAGTCAACCCGCCACCCACCCGTCAACAATCCAGTCACCAAGATATACCTCCCTGAAATGACTTCTTGCAGGTTGGGATGTCTGCCATTGTTGATTCCAAAGCCGGTGCTGGATAAACAGCGAGCGTGCGCGTGCGACAGTAGGCTGCGGTAGGCTAAATTATTTACGACAGCGGTAATGGACAATTCCGCTTCCAACCTGTAGGGCGACCGCTGAGGAAAAGTTCCTTGGTGTTGCTTTAAAGCAGCCCATATTACTTCTGAAGTCATATGATAGCTTTGAATGAGAAAAAAAATTACATTTAAGCTGTTAACTCAATGAGTCAGTGAGTTGAATTCAAAAAACGATTCAGTGAACCAGATTTGTGGACTGTATCTGATGATTCATTGAAAATATCTGATAATATCTGAAAAAAACAAAAAGGAGATTGCAACTTCTGTAATGACCTCTAATGAACATGAGGGTAGCTATAGGGTGGTTGTCAAGGTTTTCAATAAATTATGACCAAAATTACAGTTTATTCCATCCTTACACAATGCTATTGCACGACTTATAAGATTATAGCACAAAGTCATATGAACTGCTTTTATGCTACGTTAATGCTGCTTTTGCATATTTTGCACGGCAGAGAGGGAGAGAGCGAGAGACCTTGCGAGTGTGCCTCACGAAAGCTAGTCAACCCGCCACCCCCCCGTCAACAATCCAGTCACCAAGATATACCTCCCTGAAATGACTTCTTGCAGGTTGGGATGTCTGCCATTGTTGATTCCAAAGCCGGTGCTGGATAAACAGCGAGCGTGCGCGTGCGACAGTAGGCTGCGGTAGGCTAAATTATTTACGACAGCGGTAATGGACAATTCCGCTTCCAACCTGTAGGGCGACCGCTGAGGAAAAGTTCCTTGGTGTTGCTTTAAAGCAGCCCATATTACTTCTGAAGTCATATGATAGCTTTGAATGAGAAAAAAAATTACATTTAAGCTGTTAACTCAATGAGTCAGTGAGTTGAATTCAAAAAAAGATTCAGTGAACCAGATTTGTGGACTGTATCTGATGATTCATTGAAAATATCTGATAATATCTGAAAAAAACTAAAAGGAGATTGCAACTTCTGTAATGACCTCTAATGAACATGAGGGTAGCTATAGGGTGGTTGTCAAGGTTTTCAATAAATTATGACCAAAATTTCAGTTTATTCCTCACACAATGCTATTGCACGACTTATAAGATTATAGCACAAAGTCATATGAACTGCTTTTATGCTACGTTAATGCTGCTTTTGCATATTTTCAAGCTTAAAAACTCCCTGTCCCCATTCTCTGCCCCCCTTGAAGCAGGGCCAGATTCAAAATTAAACTAGGATTTAAAAGTGGTGAAATATAGCGCAGGCAGCTGTTCAGAATTAGTTTTTTTAAATAAGTCACATGTAATTTTTAATACAAGGAAAGGATGGCCAGGACAGAGAGCAGGCACAATCCTGTGATACTGTTGTGGAGAAGTGAAATGTGTTGCTGTGTTTGATAGTGCTGTCACCAACTCTCACGCATTGACCGTGAGATTCACGCAATTGTCACTTTTCACACGGTCTCACGCCACACATCCATTTTCTCACGCAGAGAAAAGTCGCGAAGCAAAGAGGACACTGACACCGACAGACAAGACAGAGAAGGTTACTTTTGATATGGAACAAATTCTCAGCTCTCAGATTCTGCCAATTTTATTATGAAATTCAAACAATAAATGCCGTTTTGGCGCTTTTAAATGTGACAGATCGCTGTAGCGCCTCAGTTCAAATGGCACGTGAACCGATCATCTCTCTTCACTAGCCTAGTTAATTGTAAATTAACACGAATGATCAATAGGTGTGTAACGTGTGATACAGTAGCCTACAACTTACCGAAATGTATATGCCTCATACATACTGTAATATCGACCAATCAGTGTTTTTCAACCGCGGAAAGGTCAATAAAACAGCTGGAGTAGACTACAATGTCACATTACGTTACATTTACCTCAGGAAAGTAATTTAATGACCGTAAGTTGGTTAGAAAAAAATAGTATTTTATAATATTTAGTATTAGTATAAATGAGTATTTTGCGAAATATGTGCACTATATTACATATTATTATGTTTTTTACTTATATCATTAAAATAGTATAAAGTTGTTGTATAAAAACCCTATTAGGCCTATATTTAATTTGAGTTGTTATTTTTAACCTTTAATCATACCAGCAGACAGGGCTCTCTGTAGTCTATGTTTACAGCATTAGGTGAGATTTTCTTTCTTGAGAAAATTTAACATCTACTGTAGCCTACCTAATATGTATCCAAATTGAATCAAGGAATAAAACCACAAGAATTCAATTGAAATTGTAAAATTTGTATCAAGCAATAATAAAAGCAGTAGCCTATGCCAATTATTGCACCATGCTGTCACTAAACTTGATCAAATTATGTGTAGTTAGGCTATCAAATGTTTTGACACCCAAAATAGCCTACACTTATTGTGATGCAATACATTACATTACAAACATGTTGTATACTAAATTGTGAATTGTGGCTACTACTTTTAGTACACTTTTTAGTTTTAAAAGTTCTCCAAAATAGAGAGAGAGAAAAAAAACATTTGTGCCTCAGATTCATATGGCCATTGTCTAAGTAATATTTTTAGGGAGGCCTGTACAGTAGTGATTGAGTGAGTAAAATGAGAAACATGCAACATGGCCAAAATAGCCAGTGTTGACATTTAGCTGAGAGAAATTAGACAAGTGTTAAAATGAAAGGATATGGAAGAAATGAGAAAGTACTTCTTCTCTTTTTTTATTTCATCTTTTGTCACGCTTGTAGTGTTTTTAGAGCTTGTCATTTGAGTGTGCAAAAACGCCTCCTCTCTTCAGACGTCAACTCTCCTCTATCAGTGTTTTGACTCCCTTAAAGCTGCAGTAGGGAGTTTTGAGAAAACGTTGACTTAGCCTGAAAATTTGAACAAGCACAACTTACAGGTCCCACCCCCTTGCTCTCTGCTGCGCTACAGCCCTCCCTCCACAGCTCGTCCTCCACAGCGGAGCCTGTCGTGAACGCGCAGGCTAGTAAACAGGGCCACCCATAACGGCGGATAAAAAGTTAAATGGCACATTCACTAATAGGGACTAAACGTCAACAATATGCTTTACATTGACTATGGCCTGCCCATACTTTGACAACAAACTTGGTCCTCAAATCATTATGTATTTTGCAATACATGTAACTTTATAACGTTGCACTCTTTCTATAAGTTATAAATAGCTAGTAAGATAACGTTAATATAACGGTAACTAACGTTACAGTATGTAAGTAATTATTCTAGCGATATATAATGCTAGATAAGGTGTGCTAGTACATTATTTCAGCAACATGACAAGCCAGTGAATTAGCAGGTTTCAAGTGTTGCTTAGCAGAGTGCGTGACATTTTATCTACATGTTATGCGGCTAGAGTTTTGACACCGAGTCAATGGGCTCTGTCTAATTCTTTCTTTTTCGCTTGTTTATCGTCATCGGTCTTTTTCCCTTTACCTCTTTGTTTTATGAGCAGGTGTCACTCGAGAATTGGCAGTTTAGGTTGTTTCTCCGTCATAAGCACAGCTGAAGCACGCCGGCAATCTTGAGTTTGAACGACAGCTCGCGCTGTGCAAGAGAGGGGTGTGATCAGCGCGTACACGAGCGTGATTGACACTGCTAAGACATTCCTCCTGGCTCTGATTGGTTGTTTCTGACCGGGAGCGTGTATTTCTTGCAAATGGCAATAGAACCACTGGGAGGAGCCAGAGGAGCTTGATTTTTTCATAGATTATCTGTCTCATATTCTACTGTCAGGACATAATGACAGTTTTAACAAATATGTAAAAAAATATTTTTTACAAAAGCTACCTACAGCAGCTTTAATCTTTAACTCTCTCATTTTCTGTTGTGTTGTGAAAAAGTACACGTTGGCATACTTTTAAAAAGAGAACTTGTAATTATTTTCTTTAAAATAATATAGCCACAATGTGTGCTAACTGAAATGCAATTAGTTAAACTTTAGAGTGATTTTTAACCACTTAAGTAGAACTTAAGTAGGCTAAATCTTTACACGTAATTTCATACTTCTATTGTTATTGGTTGAAGTGTACTGCGGAATGTACTGCACCGAAAGCATTTGTGATAAGCTAAAATATACTTTTACCTAATGAGGTTAACCTCATTTCTATTGAACCGTATTTGTCATGTATTTAAAGGGCACCTATTATGCAACATTCACTTTTATAAGGCGTTTGAACACAAAGTGTCCACAGTGTATGTAAACAACCAGCCTATAATGGTAAAAATCCACCCAATACTTTTTTATAATCCCCATATATCATCATTATCAATCTCTCGCAACTAAACAAGCTGTTACAAATTTTGCCCCTACTCTAAGTAAGAGTAGGGAAACCCCGCCTACGTCTGGTGACGATCTGCACCAGATCCCGCCCTGAGTGAGAAGCAGTCCGACATATAACCATAAACACAATGATACCTGCTCTAGTATCTCCATGCAGCATTTTCTGGCTCTGTGGGCATCCTAATAAAGTTCCCATACAAGCACCTATACAACAGTTTATAGATTAACATGATGGTACAAGCTAGTCAATGAGATGAATAAAGGTAACTCCACAACAACTAAGTTACATAAATGTATCCACTAACCATTCAGAAACGTCCATGTACAGTTTAACAGTTGCAGCCTCTCCCTGAGTAGGCCTATCTATATCTGTGTCTGACTCCGGTTCAAACATATAAGGCTGCACTCCGCTACTGGGTATTATTGACATTTTACCTGAGAGAAATTCGGCTGTTATGTTGTTCCTGTATCCGAAGCACATGTCGGCCCTCGCAGAGCAGCAGCTCATTTGCATTTAAAGGGACACACACACAAACGGAGCGTTTTCCCTCACACCCAAAAAGGGGCAACTTGGACAAGCTATAATAAAAAATCAGGGTGGGATTTTGAGCTGAAACTTCACAGACACATTCTGAGGATCTCAGACATGTACAGAGCTGCCAACTCTCACGCATTGGCCGTGAGACACACACATTTGATTGGTCTCACACGCCACACCCCCGATTTCTCACACTGAAGTGTCAACCTGGTCGGTCAAATGCCTGGAAGATGAGTTTATCTATATATCTACCTGTTGAGCCACTCGTGATCGACTATGCCGCAAATTAGTTAAAATCTCCCATAATCTAGAGCGAGCGCGCATGCAAGACAGAGATTGTGCTCCAAACCACGTAGCGCGCGCACGGCAGAGAGGGAAAGCGAGCGAGAGACCTTGCGTGTGCAAGCATCCCCCCGTTGGAGAATGTCATCAACCCCCCCAAGTGGGGGTTTCTAAAGTGTCCATGTTACAGTGCAACATTATTATACATTTAGTACTGAGTAATATTAATTAACTACATGTACTTAGGTTTAGGTTTAGGTTAGGGTTAGTTGCATGTAATTATGCATGATTTATAGTTATAGCTAACATGTAACGTGTAACAAGGACACTAAAAGATAAAGTGTTACCAAACATTATCAAAGCAATGATTTCAAATGTACTTTAGAGTCAGTTTTCATTAATATTATATTATCTGCTAGTAGTTTTCTTTTTAAATTATACTTTTAAGATTTGAAAAGCACTATAGCCTAAGTGAACATTCAATACAATTATGTAGGCTACACTTCTTTTTCACAAGGGATTTTTTTTTCACCTTTGTCCACCAACCCAAAGACTGACTATCTCTCTCTCTCTCTCTCTCTCTCTCTCTCTCTCTCTCTCTCTCTCTCTCTCTCTCTCTCTCTCTCTCTCTCTCTCTCTCTCAGTTTGTGGGGTGAACTGTCATAAAGCATGTCATGGACGTCTGACGATTGAATGCCGTAAAAGAACGAAGAGCATCAGTCATGAAACACCCCCGTCATTACAGTCCAGATCCTACAGCTTTCCTCTGTCCAGTAATGCTCAATCAAACCTGCAGAACACAGGTAAACATATTCTCACACACACTGCACATAATTGCTGAACTTAGATATAGAAGCTTAAAGCTTAGAAATAAAAAAAAGATAATTGCGACTTTTTATCTCACAATTCTGAAATTTTGTCTTGCCATTACAAGTTTACATCTTGCATTTTTGCCTTTATTTCTTGCAATTCCGAATTTATAACTCTGTCAGAATTGTGAGATATTAACTTGTAATTGTGAGAAAAAAAGTCAGAATTGTGAGAGAAAAAGCCGCAATTACTTTTTATTTATTTATTCCGTGGCGGAAGCTTTCAGGGGTTTAACAAACTCTCTCTGTCTATTTCTGTTATTTCTTTGGTCTTCAGTCATCACAGAAGAGGATGTTGAGGCAGCTGAACAGGGTGTATTTGACTGTCACCTTTAAACTGGTAAACCAACATTCTGCTTGACTAATCACTACAGTACATAAAAACATTTCTCAGGAAAAAAAAGACAACTATTATGCTGAATATAAAACATTACACATATTGTATTGTTAACTCAATATTGTTTTCTGTATGAAGTACAGATTTTCGTGTTGGGGCAAATTTCTTCCAATCACACCCAATGTTGAAGAAAAAAGAGCTGATCAGAGTCAGGAAAATTATAACAGTGTTCACTGTCACAGCCTGACACATCATGAGACATAGACATGCTGCTATCTGCTGGACTGAAGCTGCAACTGCTGACCAGATCAATCACCTCTTCCTTTTAAAGTCTGAATGTAATCTCAAACATATCTCAAAATCTCAAGCATATTTGTAGGATTTATCATTATGGTGTATATTTTACCCAGGCTCCTGAAAAAAAGAAAGAAAAACAATTTTAAAAAAATAATGAAAGAGAATGAGGAAATGTATCATCAACTTAATGAAGAGTAAGTTATTTCGGTTACCATGTTCTGAGTTACAGAAATGTACATTTTGAAATGTACATTCACTGAAGTAATGAGATCTTCTAACATCACCAATGCAGTTCTGGCTGAATTTCAATTTCAGTATCTGGTATGTGTGTTTATGTGATTGCACCTGAAATATAGTTGATATTATGCAACCAGTAATGTTCTTTAAATCTTTGAATTTATTAAATTAAATGTGGGAAAAAATTCCAATTAATTTATCTTAAGAGAGTTAACCGCAATAAAAGTTAGTCATAGATATTCCAGCTGTAATTGGTCCATCAAAATCTTCATCATCCGAATTGTGTAAGTTGTATGGTGTCATAAAAAAAAAACAATTAAATAAAAAAGGCTCTCCTTTCATACCATAAATATCGTGCACGAACAAGATTTTGAACAGAAACAATTAATTATTGGTGAGCTATTCACCTCTGCAAAGTTTTTTCTTTACTTAGTGTGTCAATTGTATTTTTTCTTCATCTGGGGAAGGAATATACTGGTAAAAAAGATAAAATCTTTGGGTCACGTTAACATGTTTTCCCTCTGCATATCTGAGCATTAAACATTATTAAAGAATTTGAATTCATTCAAAGGGTTAAACAAACGTAATCACTCATGATCGTTTGGATGTAACACGGCATGCTGAATGGGTTAAGATCTTAATGAGGAAATACATTAAGGTATGTTTCCTGTTCGATCTGATGAAATAAAAATAAATATTTTTTTAATTTAATTATATTTCGATTTTAAGTAGTTGTGGTAAAGCACCCCTTTAAAAAAAAAGTCTGGCTCTGTTGCTGGAAGATGCCAAAAGCATAATCTGTTTCACAACACTATAGGTCAATATCTCACATTTGAGAATATCCTTGTTCTCTCTCTTTTTCAATATATGTTGTAGCAGTTACTGTTAAGACGAGATTTCCAAAATTCTTCCAATGATCTGAGAAACTGTCAATATTAGTCTGGGAAATCTGACTCTTGTGTGATGTGACATTAGGCATGTACTGTATGCATATTAACTAATATGTTCTTTTCAAATATCCTGTTATGTTGAATGTTTTGTTTTTATATTTACAGAAAGATCTGAGAATGCATTTTACATTTAAGTAAATTTGTTGTGTTGCACACTGAAATATTGTTTGTTCTGTAATACAAAAGATTAATTTTCCTTGGTGATAATTGAATGTATTTTTCTCATGCAACTACCTTTTAATGTGCTGGTCTGTAGGAATTTTTCAGTGACATAATAAATATTGCTATATCAAAATATCTATGAGCTACAAAATTACATGAGCCTCTCTTCTCTTCTTTTCTGAGTCTGTAGTCATAAAAAATAATTTACAAACTTCTCACACTTGCACTGTAAGGATTTTCTTAAGTTATAGCGCCCCCTAGTTTTGGAAATTGATTAAGTTAACTCTGGTGTCATTACCATAGACTGTAAAAAAAGATGGACGACGCCCCTTCGCTCTTTTCCATTGGAGAAAACTGAAGCCGCCAGAGTCCCGATATGGCGCTGACATATTGGAACTTGAGTCTGCGCAGTAGCGTTTTCGGGACCAGTCATGCGCAGTCGTGAGCAGGAAGTAAAGCCGCGAAATCAAGGCCCCACCCCCTCACGCTCGTTGAATCATTCGCAAGCACACGCCCTGCACTTTTCTTAAGTGGCCTTGTCTGCTCCGTTCCTCTCCAATGATGTCTGCTGATTGCAGTACCTCGTTAAAATAAGGTAAATATAACTACTAACCACATAGTCAACATTATGAAAAAAAGTCCGTTGGTGCTTCAGTGACTACTTCACACAGAGAACCTGTCAATCACAGCTGTCAATCATGATGTCACAGCACCGTTTTTATAGCATCAAATAACTAACTAAAAACTAACTTATTTTAAAAACAAACACTTGAAATTACATCAACGTGATAGAAACTACAGTAAATGACAGAAACTATCTTAGAAAAAAGATATGTGACGTGTAATTTAATTATTTAGTTGGTCTCACGTCCCATTGAATAACATGGGGAGGCGGGGCTTATGAGCTATACTAGGACCGGTCACCGGGGGGCGATCGAGACGTTTTGGCTTCACTTTTGAGGGCTTGTGCGGCACGCTTGGTCATTACATATGGCTACAAAGCTTGTATGACGTTTTCCTGCAGAACACAAAAGAAAATATTCTTTTGTTTGTTGTTTTTTGTTATGTTATAGGTTGTTTGTTGGGGGGGGGGGTTATCACAACATTCTTCAAAATATAATCTTTTGACAACCAGATTAAAAAATTTTGGGTGAATTGTCCTTTTAGTAATGTCTTGAAAATGTCCGTATTGGAGCAACGCAATAACTACTCCAAATATGGTTGTGCGATTATGATTAATGCCAAAGAAGATTTTGATATAATCTACAATTCAACTTGTCAACTTTGTCTCCATTAGCTGTTGTGTAGTTTGATAGGTTAAAGTGCCCCTTATGATTTTTCAAATATTCCCTTTTTATGCAGTGTAATATACCTTTTAGGACATTGAGCGAATTGCCATTCCACAATTCTGAAGCCTGCATAAGAGACATTAACATATTTAGTGATGCTTCAGATCATGCATAGTCAGTTGCATATCTCAGAACATAAAATACTGATCTAGATCTAGAGTGACACCTAAACGGCAGTTGTCTATACCAAGATTAAAACTATGTGCAGTAGGGGTGTAAATCGGAGCCTACATGACGATTCGATACGATACCGATTTCTTAAGCCAACGATTCGATTATTTTCGATACTTCAGAATTCCCCGCGATACGATTCGATTCGATACGATTCAATAATCGATATTTTTACATGATATCTATTAAGTTTCAAATAAATCAACACACTTTTTTTATAATTTGCCTTTTATTGAGAATACAGGAACAGTATTCTATTCACATAATGTGTATGTTGTGCTCAATGCACTGCAAATAGAACAGCAAATAGAACAGTTACTGCATACAGTTCTAAACTTGATTCTATCGAATCCTGGTGCGTTTCCGTTTCCGTGCATCTTACGTCATCGCAAACGTGCACGACGCATGATAGAAAACAGAACGCGGGTCAATATATTGTGTTTTTTTATTTTATTTGGTGCTATTATTATGCACAGCTGAGTGAACAACACCGGTTTACTGTGTGTCGCATTTGGCTTTTTGCTGATTGCAAACGCAGGAGACAGTGGATTTCCATTAATTTGTTGCCCTGAGTCCACGCGCTATGTGTGTGCGAATACAGACTCACTCTCGCTCTTATCCATGTAAATTATCAACACTATCATCCCTTACATGTGTTTTATTTAACTAAATACATCATAATCAGCTAAAAAGCATGCGCAGGTCACTTACTTCCTGAACAAGTGCGCACCCGAGTCCGTGATGCTTTCACATTCACGCGAGCCGCGGCACGGTTCGAGTGCAACCGAACACAGCGCACCTCCTCCAGGCAGTCTCGGGTTTGGTACCCCAGTGCGCACCCGGGTCCGCATGACAGACAGCGTTTACATAATTAGCGATTTTTCATGCGAACCGTGCCCGTTCCGTTCCGAGTTGGTGTGAAGCACCCTAGACTTTTCAAGTAAGCTGTTGAAGTAGCCTTTTGTACACGTTAGTGCCTGTTTGTTTACGTTAGTAACTGCTAGCTTGGAATTTGCCAACTAAGTTACTGAGGGTGCGGCAGTTTAGTTCGGTGACTAACTAACGTTAGCCCAGTGCATAACAACAATCGTTTGTACGCATATGAGCGGATGCTGAAAATAGACAGGCGGCAAAACAAACACATTAATCGATACTCTTGCGGACACATCGATGCATCGAATCGTCGGCTGTATAATCGATGCATCGATACGAATCGATTAATATTTACACTCCTAATGTGCAGCACTCATATGGGCCCAGTTGGCAAGGCTTCTAGAAAGAGAACTTACCCTGGGCATTCGGCAGTGGACCTTATGGAGTGATTTTAAAAGTGTGGGCACGAGAGTTGCCAAAATCCAAGAGCTGATGTCTCCTCAAGCAAGGCGGTATGTAACGTCTGAAGACAACCCTGCAGATTACATCACTCATGGTAAACCACTCTAGCAGCTCTCTCAGCCTACTTGATGGAACTGAGGACCAAACTTTCTATGGCAGGACCCCAAATCATGGCCCAATGACCCAAAAACGACCTTTTCACTTCTAAAGGAAGCACAAGCTACATGCTTCCCCACTGAAATTGAGGCATTAAGGGCTGGCAAACCGTTGCCTTCCAACTGGTTACTCACACTTGCCCCAGAGATTGAGCTGCTGAATAGGAAACGCTGGAGAGAGACACAGTCAAATTCTCACCGATCATTTCTGGGCAAACTTCATAAAATGGTATCTACCTGAACTACAAACCTGTTCAAAGTGGATGACTGAAGTGGCCAAGAACCCGGATAATGGAACAGTGGTGATGATAGTTGACCAGCAACTTCCCAGGGCTCTCTGGCCAGTGGGTAAGGTCACAGCCACAATACCCGGAGCTGATGTCAAATTAGAACAACTGAAGTTCAAGTAGGTGATCGTAAATATGTTAGACCAGTAAATAAGCTAATCTGCTTGCCAGTATTACAGTATTATCATAAATTGGGCTGCTGTTGAAAAGGCACAGTATTTTCCATAGTATTTTCTGATT